GAGAGAGAGAGAGAGAGAGAGAGAGAGAGAGAGAGAGAGAGAGAGAGAGAGTTATTCTTCCATTGACAACCAGATGGACACCAAGTAGCGATTACAGCACCCAGTGAGGGGGAACTCCACCCTAGCAAGGAGAGCTTGTTCAATATGGGGAAGAAACCGGCGGGGAGAGGAATGACCACCAGGTATCAACATGAAAGCCGCCAATTGAAGGTAACGACCCATTCACCGACAGTCTGTTCCACATGAGGTAAAAACTTTCCATCAAAGCTTATGAGAACACGAGTCTCTCTCTGTGTTCCTGTCTTTCTCTCCATTTTGCAGAAGAAGTCGATGGCCGACATCACACCATCGCCATGCTGCTCATTGATGATCTCCTTGATTGCTTCGCCATACTGCATTGCCGATTCATAGACATAGTGAATCATAGGCTCCAAGGTTGTAGGGACATTTACAGGGATTAACGGTTCCCATTTGTCACAACTACGCATCTCCTTTTTGTGTTCCTCTTTGCTTATTACTTCTCACTGGTTATGTTTTCCCATCCTCTTGTTGGGATTTTTTGTCACTTCCGCATCCCTTTTTCGTCTGCGTCCCTGCCTGACTATTTTCCACTTGCTTGTTTTGTGCCCTTATCCTTTTGTTCAGATGTCTTCCTATCTTCTCTTTGTTTTCATTTTAGAAACGTCCACGGGCTGGCCTTCCTTCTGGAGGTGATGAGAGAACCCGTATTCATCTGCCCCAGCTTTGTCATGGTTGCTGAATTGACACGACGGCTCGCATGTTCATCTCATTTCTCGTGGCGTTTGAGTTCTAATCCAGCATAGCCAATGCACGCACGTAAACACGCTTGCACACTGGAACAAAGGATGGGCTGCAAACTACAACAGATCCGAACATGGATACCGGAGGAGGGAATGGATTGACGCAGAAGTACGGATCGCGAGCCTAAAGACCCAAAGGGGAAATAGATGACTTCACCGAGATTTCTCAGAAGATCCGAACCTCCTGATGACAATATGTTTGTGCGTGTGCGACTGCGTTAAACATGATCTCCTTCTCATTTCATCTCGTTTGATATCTTTTCTTTTTTGGTTCGCTCTTTTTCTTGCCCATGCCTCGGATCTTGTTATTGTCTCTGCGATATTCTGTGCGCCATGTGATGGAGGGTGTTGTCAAATTCTTGTTATTTCGAAATATGACCATGCCATGTCATCTTATATCCACCTCATCGCAGTTCAATCCCTCCACTTTTTCGAACAGAGGTACAAGTCGGACCAACCTCCAGAGCTCTTTCTCTAGTACCCTGAGCAACTGCAAAACATCTGTGCCATGTTCAGCTGTGGGGGGGTCCTCCCTCACAACTGAACATAGCAGATGGATTCCAACTCAGGTCTGTATTTTGACATCTCATGCATGTAGATACTAAGGGCATAAAATAAAGTATAAAATGTATCTTTTATATCTTATCTATATCAAATACTCTATTTGTTATTACCTATTCTAGTTCATATTTCAACAGTTCATGGGAGTAACTGGCTGAGCGCATACTCAACGTTTACACTTGATAAATCTAACACCAATCATCTGTACAAACTTGATGAACCTGACGGCAATCACCTGCAAAAAATGGCTGGAAAAGTCATAGAGTGAGTATGCCCTGACCTTCCAAGGAGGGAAGGGTGGAGCTGGGGTGGGGCTGGGGGTGGGGGAACCGCCCCCCAACTGAACATAGCAGACTCAAACTCCAGTTTATTTTTGAACAGTTCAGGGGTGTTCTGACTGAGGGCATACTCGTAACGATTTTCGTTAAGTGCTTGACCTTGGTAGGCAACGGGTATGGCAGATGCTGTCTCTTATACACATCTAGATGTGTATAAGAGACAGCTCAAAGGAACATGGTGGGGTTTCCTCACCATCATCAGGGTTGTTCGTCATTGCCATCATCAT